AAGTTGTTAATTATTTGGGGGAAAGTAAATCACAGTGCTATGAGAGACGAAAACAACTTCCGTTAGACTTACTGAAGAGGAAAGGCAACTTTCAGGAATAGGAAGCCGGGCGTGGTGGCTCATGCTTGTAATCCCAGCACTCTGGGAGGTTGAGGAGGGTGGATCACCTGAGGTCAGGAGTTGAAGGCCAGCCTGGCCAATATGGAAACTCTGTCTCTACTAAAAATACAAAAATTAGGCAGGGTGTGGTGGCCCACACCTGTAATCCAAGCACTTTGGAGGCCAAGGCAGGCAGATCAACCTGAGGTCGGGAGTTCAAGACCAGCCTAACCAACATGGTGAAACCCCATCTTATTTTTAAAAAATAATAATAAATAAAATACAAAAATGAGCTGGGCATGGTGGCGCACACCTGTAATCCCAGCTACTTGGGAGGCTGAAGCAGGAGAACTGCTTGAACCTGGGAGACAGAGGTTGCAGTGAGCTGAGATCATGCCATTATACTCCAGCCTGGGTGACAGACTGAGACTCTATCCCAAAAAATAAAAATAAAAACCAATAAAGAGAACAGGGTAAGGATGAGGAGGAAAGTATACCAGACAGAGGGTCCCGCAATGCAACAGTCCTCAGGAAGTGCTTAGAAGGTTCCTGTCAGTGGAAAGTGAGTGTTTGGGAGGTTGGGAGAGTGGAAAGTGTTAGACTAGGGAGCAGGTGAGGTTTTACAGGGTCTTGCAGGTCCTGATAAGAGATGGAAATTTCCTCTAAGTACAATGGAAAGCCAATGAAGAGTTTTACACAGGGGTGACATGTTCCAATTATTACTTAAGGTCACTCCAGCCGCCATGTGGAAAACAGAATGGAGGCTGGGGAGAAGTGAACACCCAAAGGCTATGGCTTAATCCAGCCCAGAGGTGATGGACTACAAAGCTAACAGTGGAGACGGTGAAAAGTAATTGCATTCAAAATATATTCTAAGGTAGGACTGCTGATGGATTGGATTTAGGGAGTGAGGAGAGAAGGCTAGATTTTTGGTCTAAGCAATTGGATAGATGATGAGAAGGCCAGAAACATACCTTTGGGAACCATCAGTACATAGATGGGTTAAATGACAGAGTGTGGAGAGAAACGGTCCCAGGACTGAGCCCTAAGATACCTCAACTCTTAGACATCAAGCAAGGGAGGAACAGGACCCAGGAAAGAACACTGTGAAGTAGTCCTTGATGGAGGAGAAAATATCACAAAGGAACATATAACACAAAGAAAAGAAAGTTTCTGGAGTTTCTGTATTAACCACTGCTAAGAGATCAAGAAAGCTGAGGCCAGAAAATCAACCTTTGGATTTGACAAGATGGAGAGATCAGGTAATTTTCTTTTTTCCAGACAGACTCGCTCTGTCGCCTAGGCTGGAGTGCAGTGGTGCAATCTCAGCTCACTGCAACCTCTGCCTCCCTGCAACCTCTGCCTCCCAGGTTCAAGTGATTCTCCTGCCTCAGTCTCCCAAGTAGCTGGGATCACAGGCAACCACCACCACATCTGGCAAATTTTTGGGTTTTTTTGTTTTTTTTTTACAGCTTTTTGCATTTTTTTTTTTTTTTAGACAGAGTCTCACTCTATTGCCAGGCCAGAGTGCAATGACGTGATCTCAGCTCACTGCAACCTCCGCCTCCCAGCTCAAGCGATTCAACTGACTCAGCCTCCCAAGTAGCTAAGACTACAGGCACACCAGCATGCCCAGCTAATTTATATATTTTTAGTAGAGATGGGGTTTCACCACATTGGCCAGGATGGTCTTAACCTCATGATCCGTCCGCCTCAGCCTCCCTAAGTGCTGGGATTACAGGCGTGAGCCACCATGCCTGGCCAAATTTTTTAGTAGAGATGGGGTTTCACCATGTTGGCCAGGCTGGTCTCGAACTCCTGACCTCAGACAATCTGCCCACCTTGGCCTCCCAAAGTGCTGGGATTACAGGCGTGAGCCACCACGCCACACCGGATCAGTTAATTTTAACAGTCATTTCTGCAGACTAGTGAGGATGAAAGTACAACAAAACGGTTAAGAGACTGAGGGGCTAATGAGCACTTACAAGAAGTTTGTTGGGATAGGAAGAAACAACAGAGTAAGAGGTGGACATGTATGTGGGGACAGGGGATTTTCTTAAGATGAATACACTAAAGCAGGTTGTATGCTCACAGGAAATGCTCCAGTAAAGAGGGAAAAATTAGTAATGATGGCTTGGACTAGAGTAAAATATATGAATAGTTTTTCAGGTTGCAGAAGAAATCCCATCAGTGGGTTGCAAAATTAATTCAGTGGGTCAACTTTTTTTTTTTTTTTTTTTTTTTTTTTTTTTTTTGAGACAGAGTTTCGCTCTTGTTACCCAGGCTGGAGTGCAATGGCACGATCTCGGCTCACCGCAACCTCTGCCTCCTGGGTTCAGGCAATTCTCCTGCCTCAGCCTCCTGAGTAGCTGGGATTACAGGCACGCACCACCATGCCCAGCTAATTTTTTGTAGTTTTAGTAGAGACGGGGTTTCACCATGCTGACCAGGATGGTCTCGATCTCTTGACCTTGTGATCCACCTGCCTCGGCCTCCCAAAGTGGTGGGATTACAGGCGTGAGCCACGGCGCCCGGCCCCAACTTTTTTTTTTTTAAGACAGAGTCAGCTGGGCGCAGTGGCTCATGCCTGTAATCCCAGTACTTTGGGAGGCTGAATCACTGTGTTGGGAGTTTGAAACTAGTCTGTTCTTGTGATACAGAAAGAGAAAAAAGAAACAAAAACAAACAAATAAAAGAAACCGGTCTGGCCACCATACTGAAAACCTGTCTCTACTAAAAATACAAAGAATTAGCCAGGTGTGATGGTGTGCACCTGGGAGACTGAGGCAGGAGAATCACATGAACTCAGGAGGCAGAGGTTACAATGCGCTGAGATCATGCCTTTGAACTCCAGCCCAGGCAAGAGTGCAAGACTCTGTCTGGAAAAAAAAAAAAAAAAAAAAAAAAAAATTAAAAGAGCCTTCCTCAGTTACCTCACCAGGAGTGCAGTGGCTAGATTTCAGCTCATTGCAGCCACCTGGCCTCAAGCAATTTTCCTATCTCAGCCTTCTAAGTAGCTGAGACTACAGGCATGCACCACCACACACAGCTTTTTTTTTTTCTTTTTTAAAAATGGAGTTTCACCACGTTGGTCAGGCTGGTCTTGAACTCCCGACCTCAGGTGATCCGCCCGCCTGGGCCTCCAAAGTGCTTGGATTACAGGCGTGAGCCACCACACCCGGCCGAGCTAACTTTTTAATTTTTTGTAGAGACAGGGTCTTCCTATGTTGCCCAGGCTGGCCTCCACCTCCCAAGCGCAAGTGATCCTACCGCCTAACCCTCCCAAAGTGCTGGGATTACTAGTATGAGCCACCACACTTGGCCCCATTCATTTCAATAAAAAATAGACAATATTGAGAGTGTACTCCATACATTATTGTTTCATGAGTCTTTCATTTCATTACACAGTCCAAAAAAAAAAAAAAAAAAAAAAATTGGAAGGGGCCAGGTAAGTTGGCTCATGCCTGCAATCCCAGAACTTTGGGAGTCCAAGGCAGGAGGATCACTTGAGCTCAGGAGCTGGAGACCACCCTGGGCAACAAAGTGAGACCCTGTGTCCACAAAAACTTTAAAAAAAAAAAAAAATTAGCTGTGAGTGATGGCGTGGGCCTGTAGTCCCAGCTACTGGAGGGGCTGAGGCAGGATTGCTTGAGTCCAGAAAGTCAAGGCTGCAGTGAACCATGATTATGCCACTGCACTCCCGCCTGAGGAAAAGAGCAAGACCCTGTTTCTTTTTTTTTTTTTTTTTTTTTTTTTTGAGACGGAGTTGCGCTCTTGTTACTCAGGCTGGAGTGCAATGGCGCGATCTCGGCTCAACGCAACCTCCGCCTCCTGGGTTCAGGCAATTCTCCTGCCTCAGCCTCCTGAGTAGCTGGGACTACAGGCACGCGCCACCATGCCCAGCTAATTTTTTGTATTTTTAGTAGAGACGGGGTTTCACCATGTTGACCAGGATGGTCTCGATCTCTTGACCTCGTGATCCACCCGCCTCGGCCTCCCAAAGTGCTGGAATTACAGGCTTGAGCCACCGCGCCCGGCCAAGACCCTGTTTCTTAAGAAAAAACAAAATTAATTAAAAACGTAAAAATCTGAACTGCCGGAGTACATATAACTTTTAAGCATGAGGCAAAAGAACTTGAAACTGTATCAAATAATCAGTTCACAGAGAACACAAGAGAGGTAATACCTACAAGTTAACATCAACCATATAAAACCCACATTCCGATGCAAAAAACTTCATTTGCACGAGGTGCAACCAGCAAGCATGGAAAAGACCACGTGCGGTCAAACTGTCAGAAAACACTTTACCCTCGCCTGTACACACCCACCCGCACACCCCGTGCTGTTTCTCCGGTCCCAGTCCTGGCTCATATCCTTCCCCTCTCCCCGCAAAAACCCTTCCCTTCCCTCACAGGGTTGACCGCTCCCATCAAACTCTGACAGCAGCTCTTCCGAGTGAGGGCTCCCCAGGAGCCCGGTGCCGCAAGCAGAACTCTACTCTACCCCGCCCTGATTCGTCTCTCCTCCAGCCACTTTCAGCGCGGGCAGACAGGCCTTCACAGCCTTCTAAGTCCGGGGTCGGATACCAGGCTGGGCTCCACCCCCGCACTGTGACCCAGAAACGCTGGTAAATGAATGAGAGGAGGAGGAGGCACACTGGAAGGCAGCGGATCCGGAGGTGCTCGGCCTCGCATCCCAGACAGAGGCTGTGGAGGGGAAGCGAAGGCTGGGCAGGGCAGAGCGAGAGTCCCGTTCGTCCCCGTTCCCACCAGCGCGGCCCTCCCGGACAGGGCCGGCCTCGGCCCTCACTCCCGCAGGAGGGGTCGCCCAGTACCCGCGGCTCTCGGCTCTCGGCGGTCCAACCTCCTTGACCCAAAAGGGACTCGTCCCGGGAGACTTACACTTCCATGACGTCCCGCCTCGTCGCCCCCCGGCTGCCAGCGGACAAGGAACCGCACACCCCACAGCTGCCCCTCCGCCGCCGCCGCCGACCGCGCCAGCCAGCCAGCTCCGCGCGCCGCGGTGCACGCCGGGATCGCCGCGGTGCACGCCGGGAGCTTGGCGGACCCGGAACCTCTCGCTGCCCGCCCGGTCCCTTTTCTCGGGGGGCCGGGGAGGGTCGCTGTGTCCTTCGCCCAGGACTTCGCTTCAGACTGCTAAGAGCTTGCGGGCAGGACTATCTCGTGTTTTCTTTTTTTGAGATGGAGTCTCTCTGTCGCCCAGGCTGGAGCGCAGTGCTCCGATCTCAGCTCACTGTAACCTGCGCCTCCCGGGTTCAAACGATTTTCCTGCCTCAGCCACCCCAGTAGCTGAGACTACAGGCCCCCGCCACCCCGCCCGGCTAATTTTTGTATTTTTAGTAGAGACGGGGGTTTCACCATTTTGTCCAGGCTGGTCTCGAACTCGTGACCTCAGGTGATCCACACTCTCTTTGGCCTTCCAAAGTGCTGGGATTACAGGCATGCGCCACCACGCCGTCTATCTCGTGTTTTCGTGGTCTAGGTTTTTTTTTTTTCTAAAGATGGGGTTTCACCATTTTGGTCAGGCTGGTCTCAAACTCCTGACCTCAGGTGATCCGCCCACCTCAGCCTCCCAAAGTGCTGGGATTACAGGCGTGAGCCACTGCGCCCGGCGGTCTAGGTTTTAAGAAAGTAATTAATCAGCTAAAGTTGCGAAAAGTGATGGGGTTACAAGGTCTTTGCGTGTTAAAATCGCACCCCTCAGAGAGTAGTGAGGCTGGTGGCATCTGGGGTGCCAGAAACGTTGTAGTTTATTTATTTATTTATTTGTTTATTTATTTATTTTTGGTAGAGATTGGAATCTCGCTATGTTGCCCAGGCTGGCCTTGAACACCTGGCCTCAAGTGAGACTCCACCTCCACCTTCCAAAGTGCTGGGATTACAGGTGTGAGCCACTGCAACAGCTCTGTTCCCTTTTTTGTAAATAATAAGTGTGTAGGTAATCCTTATAAAGAGCCTGGCACTTTATCAATTACTGTGGCAGTACAACCATGACTGTCTATGCAGTAGATTCCATTATTATTCACATCTTATAATTGAAGAAACTGAGGCAGTCTTGGAGAGATTATGATTTGCCAAGAGTCATTCATCTGGAACTTGTCCAGTGGGTGTTGAACCCAAGACAATCTGAACAAATACAAGACGTGCATTAACTAGTGACTAATAATTGGATAAATAAAATGTTCTGCATTTGTACAATGGAAAACTACAAAAAGGAGGCCAGGCTTGGTCCCAACACTTGGAGAGGCAGAGACAAGAGGATTTCTTGGAACCAGGAGTTCCGGATCAGCCTGGGCAACATTGCCAGACTCCCTCTCTAGGAAAAGTTAGCCAAGTGTGGTGGTGAGCACCTGTAGTCCCAGCTACTAGGGAGACTAAGGCAGGAGAATCACTTGAGCCTGGGAGGTCCAGGCTGCAGGGAGCTATGATCATACCACTGCACTCCAACCTACAGAGTGAGAGACTTTGTTGCAAAAATATAGATACATGGATAGCCCCCCAAAACATGATGCTATTAATAAGTGAAAGAAGCCAGACACAGAATAATACATATCGCTCCGCCCAGTGGCTCACACCTGTAATCGGAAGTTGAGGTGGGTGGATCATGAGGTCAGGAGTTCAAGACCAACCTGGCCAACATGGTGAAACCCCATCTCTACTAAAAATACAAAAATTAGCTGGGCATGGTGGCAGGTGCCTGTAATCCCATCTACTCAGGAGGCTGAGGCAGAAGAATTGCTTGAACCCAGGAGGTGGAGGTTGCAGTGAGCCAAGACCGCACTACTGTACTCCAGCCTGGGTGACAGAACAAGAACCCATCTCTAAATAAATAAATATAAATACAAATACAAAAATTAGACAGTCGTGGTGGCACGCATCTGTGGTCCCAGCTACTCAGGAGGCTGAGGCAGGAGAATCACTTGAACCCAGGAGGCCGAGGTTACAGTAAACCAAGATCATGCCACTGCACTCCAGCCTGAGCGACAGAGTGAGACTGTCTCAAAAAAACAAACAACAAAACCAAACAATACATATCGTGTGATTCACTTTATATGTAAAGTCCAAGAAGAGGCCAATCTGTGCATACAGGAAGAAGGCTAGGAGAAGGCTTGGGGTCAGGGATGGGAAGTGACTGTTAGTAGGTATGGAGTTTCTATTCGGGAAACAAGAATGTCCCGAAATTATTATAGATGGTGGTGTTGGTTGCACAACCCTATGAATATACTGAAAACATTGAGTTATACACTTTAAATGGCAAATTGTACAGCATATGAATCCTGTATTAATAAAGCTGTTAAACATTTTTTACTTGGCTGAACATGGTGGCTCACACCAATAATCCCAGCACTTTGTAAGATGAAGGCAGGTGGATCGCTTGAGCCCAGTTTGAGACCAGCCTGGGCAACATGGCGAACCTCATCTTTACAAAAAAAAAAAGAAAAATTAATCAGTGTGCTGGCTCCTGTAATCCCAGCTACTCAGGAGGCCGAGGCAGGGGAATCGCTTAAACCTGGGAGGTGGAAGTTGCAGATCGTGCCTCTGCACTCCAGCCTGGGCGACAGAGCAAGACTCCATCACAAAACAACAACAACATCAAAAGTATATAAAATGCCACCCAAGGCCCGGCGTGGTGGCTTACACCTATAATCTCAGCACTTTGGGAGGGTGAGGTGGGCAGATCACGAGATCAGGAGTTCAAGACCAGCCTGGTCAACATGGTGAAACCCCCTCTCCACTAAAAAAAATGCAAAAATTAGCCGGGCGTGGTGGCATGTGCCTGTAGTCCCAGCTACTAGGGAGGCTGAGGTAGGAGAGTTGAAGTCAGGCGGTGGTTTCAGTGAGCCAAGATTGCACTACTACACTCCAGCCTGGGTGACAGAGCGAGACTCTGCCTCAAAAAAAAAAAAAAAAATGGGCCGGGTGCGGTGGCTCGAGCCTGTAATCCCAGCACTGTGGGAGGCCAAGGCGGGTGGATCACGAGGTCAAGAGATCGAGACCATCCTGGTCAACATGGTGAAACCCCGTCTCTACTAAAAATACACACACATACACACAAAAATAGCATGGTGTCGGGGGCCTGTAATTCCAGCTACTTGGGAGGCTAAGGCAGAGAATTGCTTCAACTTGGGAGGCAGAGGTTGCAGCGAGCCTAGATCACGCCACTGCACTCCAGCCTGGGTGACAGAGTGAGATTCCTTCTCAAAAGAAAAAATTAAAAAAAAATTACCTGGCTGTAATGGTGGGCACCTGTAATCCCAAGCTGCTCAGGAGGCTGCGGCAGGGGAATCACTTCAATCCAGGAGGTGGAGGTTGCCATGAGCCGAGATCACGCCACTGGCACTCCAGCCTGGGCAACAGAGCAAGAGTCCATCTTGAAAACAAAAACAAAAACAAAACCACATCAGTCGTAATTGTTATTATTATTTCTAACCAACTTTATCTTGACCCTCTAGGGCCTTATGTATAATTATAGCAATTATTATTTATTGAACACTTAGTAAGAGTCAGACATAGCACATTCAGGCACACCTTATTATATTGCACTTTGATTTATTGTGCTTCGCAGAAAACTGTATTTGATAAATTGCAGGTTTGTGGTGACCTTGTGTTGAGCAAGACTGTCAGTGGCGTCTTTCCAACAGCACGTGCTCACCGCATACCTCTGTGTCACAGCTCAGTAATTCTTGCAATATTTCAAACGTTTTCATTATTACTGTATCTGCTGTGGTGATCTGTGATCACTGGTCGCTGAAGTTGCTATTACAGTTGTTTTGGGCATCATACACTGTGCTCATGTAAGATGGTGAATTTAAAGACAAAAAAAACACGGTGAATTGAATCAATAAATGTGTGTGTTCTAACTGCCTCACTGACCAGCTTGCCTCCATCACCTGCCCTTTTGCCCTCTTGGGTCTCCCTATTTCCTGAGACAGAACAATACTGAGATTATGCCAATTAATAACCCTACAATGGCTTTTAAGTGTGAAAGTGAAAGGAAGGTCCTAGGTATCTCACTTAAAATCAAAAGCTGGAAGTGATAAAACATAGTGAGGAGGATATGTTGACAACTGAAATAGAACAAAAGCAAAGCCCGTTAGCCAAGTTGTGAACATAAAGGAAACGTTCTTTTTTTTTCCTCTTGAGATGGAGTCTTGTTCTGTTGCCCAGGCTGGAGTGCAATGGCGAGACCTTGGAACCTCTGCAACCTTGGAATCACTGCAACCTCTGCTCTTGGGTTCCAGTGATTCTCCTGCCTCAGACTCTCGAGTTGCTGGGATTACAGTTGTGCACCAACACACTTGGAGAATTTTTGTATTGGCCAAGTTGGTCTTAAACTCCAGACCTCAGATGATCTGCCCACCTTGGCCTCTCAAAGTACTGGAATTACAGGTGTGAGCCACTGCACCTGGCAGGAAAAGTTCTTTTTATTTTATTTTTATTTTTTTAAATTATTTATTTATTTATTAAAGACAGTGTTTCACCATGTTGGTCAGGCTGGTCTTGAACTCCCGACCTCAGGTGATCCACCCGCCTGGGCCTCCAAAGTGCTTGGATTACAGGCGTGAGCCACCACACCCGGCTATTTTTATTTTTTTGAGACGGGGTCTCACTCTGTCACCCATGCTGAAGTGCAGTGGTGCGATCTCAGCTCACTGCAACCTCCACCTCCCGTGTTCAAACAATTCTCCTGCCTCAGACTCCCGAGTAGCTGGGATTACAGGCACCTGCCACTGTGTCTAGCTAAATTTTTTGTAATTTTTAGTAGAGATGGGGTTTCACCATCTTGGCCAAGCTGGTCTTGAACTCCTGACCGCAGCCTCCCAAAGTGCTGGGATTATAGGAGTGAGTCACTATGCCCGGCCAGGAAAAGTTCTTGAAGGAAATTAAAAGTGCTACTCCAGTGAACACATGAAGGAAAAGAAAGCAAATAGCCTTATTGTCGTTATAGAGAAAGTTTGAGTGGTCTGGATAGAAGATCAAGCCAGCCAAAATATTCCCTTAAGCCAAAGCCTAATGCAGAGCAAGGCCCTAACTCTCCTGAATTCTATGAAGGCCAACTGGGGTGAGGAAGCTGTACAAGAAAAGCTGGAGCCAGGTATGGTGGCTCACGCCTGTAATCCCAACACTATGGGAGGCCGCGGTGAGCCCGGACAACTTTTTTGTATTTTTAATAAAGACCATGTTGGCCAGGCCGGTCTTGAACTCCTGACCTGAGGAAATCCACCTGCCTTGGCCTCCCAAAGTACTGGGATTACAGGCATGAGCTATCACTCCTGGCCAATTTTGACTTTCAAATCTTATTATTTGAGAAATGTATTTTGGGCTGGGCACGGTGGCTCACATCTTTAATCCCAGCACTTTGGAAGTCCGAGGTGGGTGGATCACTTAAGATCAGGAGTTCGAGACCAGCCTGGCCAGCAGAGACGGAAACACCGTCTCTACTAAAAATACAAAAAAATTAGCCAGGCATGGTGGCATACGCCTGTAATCTCAGCTACTTGGGAGGCTGAATTTGGAGAATTGCTTGAACCTGGGAGGCAGAGGTTACAGTGAGCTGAGATCACACCACTGCACTCCAGCCTAGGTAACAGAGCGAGACTCCGTCTCAAAAAACAACCAAAAAAAAAAAAAAAAGAAAGAAAAGAAAACAAGGTATTTTGGCCAGGTGCAGTGGCTCACACCTGTAATCCTAACATTTTGGGAGGCTGAGATGGGTGGATCACCTGAAGTCAGGAGTTCAAGACCAGCGTGGCTAACATAGTGAAATCTAAAATACAAAAATTATCTGGGCATGGTGGTGGGAGCCTATAATCTCAGCTACTTGGTAGGCTGAGGCAGGAGAATCACTTGGACCTGGGGGGTAGAGTTTGCAGTGAGCCGAGATCATGCCACTTCTATCCAACCTGGGCAAAAGAGCAAAACTCTGTCTGAAAAAAAAAAAAATACATTTGCCCGGCTATGGCTACCATAGCTAGTGATTCCTCTGATGAATTTGGGCAAAGCCGTTGGAAACTGCTGGAAAGGATTCACCATTCTGGATGCCATTAAAAACATTTGTTATTTGGCCAGGCATGGTGGCTCACACCTATAATCCCAGCACTTTGGGAGGCCAAGTTGGGTAGATCGTGAGGTCAGAAGTTCAAGACCAGCCTGGCCAATATGATAAACCTGGTCTCTACTAAAAATGCAAAAACAAAAACAAAACATTTGTTATTCTTGGGAGAGGGTCAAAAGATGAACATGAACAGAAGTTTGGAAGAAGTGGATTCCAACCCTCATGGATGATTCTGAGACGTTCGAGACATCAGTGGAGGAAGGAACTGCAGATGTGGTAGAAATAGCAAGAGAACTAGAATTAGAAGTTCAGCCTGAAGATGGGAGTGAATTGCTCAATCCTGTGATCAGACTTGAATGAATGAGCAATTGCTTTTTATGATTGAGCAAAAAAAAAAAAAAAAAAAAAAAAGGTTTCTTCCAATGCGATGTACTCCTGGTGAAGTTGCTGTGAATATTGTTGAAATAACAGAAAAAAATTTAAAATACTACATAAAAACCTAGTAAATAAAGTAGCAGCAGGATTTGAGAAGATTGACTCTAATTTTGAAAAAAGTTCTACCGGCCCAGCGTGGTGGCTCATGCTTGAAATCCCAGCACTTTGGGAGGCCGAGGTGGGTGGATCACGAGGTCAGGAGATCGAGACCATCCTGGCCAACATGGTGAAACCCTGTCTCTACTAAAAATACAAAAATTAGCTGGGCGTGGTGGCATATGCTTGTAATCCCAGCTACTCAGGAGGCTGAGGCAGGAGAATCACTTGAACCAGGGAGTCAGAAGTTGCAGTGAGCCGAGATCACGCCACTGCACTCCAGCCTGGCAACAGAGTGAGACTTGAGACTATGTCTCAAAAAAAAAAAATAGTTCTTGCTGTGTGTAAAATGCTATTCAACAGCATCGCATGCTACAGTAAAGTTGGAAGTCAATTGATGCTGCAAACTTCACTGTTGTCTTAAGAAATTGCTACAGCCATCTCAACCCTCGGGAACCACCACCCTGATCAGTCAGCAGCCACCGACATCGAGGCAAGGCCCTTCACTAACAAAAATGTAATGACTTACTGAAAACTCAGATGATCATTAATATTTTTAAGCAACAAAGCATTTTTAACTTAAGGTATGTACATTGTTTTTATAGACATAATGTTATGGCATACTTAAGAGACTACAGAGGCTGGGCACGGTGGCTTACGCCTCTTATCTCAGCCCCTTTTTTTTTTTTTTTTTTAAATACAGATGGGGTTTCACCATGTTGGTCAGGCTGGTCTTGAACTCCAGACCTCAGGTGATCCGCCCACCTTGGCCTCCAAAGTGCTTGGATTACAGGCATGAGCCACCGCGCCCGGCCTATCCCAGCACTTTGAAAGGCTGAGGCAGGTGGATCATTTGAGGTCAGGAGTTCGAGACCAGCCTTACCAACATGGTAAAATCTCGTCTCTACTAAAATGCAAAAAAGTTTAGCTGGGGGTGATGGCGCATGCTTGTAATCCCAGCTACGTAGGAGGCTGAGGCAGGAGAATCACTTGAACCCAGCAGGCAGAGTTTGCAGTGAGCCGAGATAGCACCACTGCACTCCAGCCTGGGTGACAGAGCAAGACTCCCTCTCAAAAAAAACAAATAAAAGTAAAAAATAAAATAAATAGTAAGAGACTACAGAATAGTGTAAACATAACTTTTTTTTCTTAAGGCTAGGTCTCACTAAAAGAGGCCAAAATGCAGTGGCACGATCAGAGCTCACTGTAACCTTGAACACCTGAGCTCAAGTGATCCACCTGAGTAGCTGGGACTTTAGGTGTGTGCCACCATATCCGGCTAACTTGTTTATTTTTAATTTTTTAGAAAGAGAGTCTTGCTCTGTTTCCCAGGCTGGTCTCAAACTCCTGGCCTCAAGCTGTCCTCCTGTGCTTGCCTCCTAAGCGCTGGGCCTGGGCCACTGTGCCAAGCCTAAACATAACTTTTATTATTTTATTTATATTTATTTATATTTTGAGATGGAGCCTCATTCTGTCACCAGGCTGGAGTGCAGTGGCCTGGACTCAGCCCCCTGCAACCTCCGCCTCCTGGGAATCAAGTGATTCTCCTGCCTCAGCCTCTTAAGTAGCTGGTGTTACTGGTGCACACAACCATGTCTGGCTAATTTTTGTGTTTTTTTAAGTAGAGACAGGGTTTCACCACGTTGGCCAGGATGGTCTTGATCTCTTGACCTCAAGATCAGCCCGCCTCGGCCTCCCAAAGGGCTGGGATTATAGGTGTGAGCCACCGCGCCCGGCCCAAACTCCCTCTTTTGATATTCAAAGCTCTTCAGTCTTCCCCCAAACTCCTTCCACCTCTCCTCCCCACCTTTTGTTATAGTTATAAACACTTGGATGATTTTCTGTTCTCCAAGCAGGCCAGACATCATTTTTGTTCAGACTTCTCCCTCTGCATGGAATGTTCTTCTCCACTTCTTCCCTGAGCAAATTCCCCCCATCTTCCAAGGCCCAATGCAGAGGACAGGTTCATTAGAAGCCCCTTCAGGGTCCTCCCAGTGCCTGGAATCCAGTCGGTCATTTTGGTGAATAATTAATCAGATCAAGGACATCTTCCCTGAGTACCCAACATAGAGGCCCCCGTCCCCCAGAGCTCCCTGCATACCTCCATGCAACGTTGGACCTTCTTGAAGTGAGACTTCATTTCTTTTTTCTTTTTTTTTTTGGGACAGAGTCTCACTCCATCCCCAGGCGCCAGGCTGGAGTGCAGTAGGACGACCTCGGCTCACTGCAACCTCTGCCTCCCGGGTTCAAGCAATTCTCCTGCCTCAGCCTCCCAAGTAGCTGGGACTACAGGCACACACCACCACGCCCAGCTAATTTTTGTTTTTGTATTTTTTTTTTTTTTTTTTTGAGATGGAGTTTCGCTCTTGTTACCCAGGCTGGAGTGCAATGGCGCGATCTCGGCTCACCGCAACCTCCGCCTCCTGGGTTCAGGCAATTCTCCTGCCTCAGCCTCCTGAGTAGCTGGGATTACAGGCACGCACCACCATGCCCAGCTAATTTTTTGTATTTTTTAGTAGAGACGGGGTTTCACCGTGTTGACCAGGATGGTCTCGATCTCTCGACCTCGTGATCCACCCGCCTCGGCCTCCCAAAGTGCTGGGATTACAGGCTTGAGCCACCGCGCCCGGCCGTTTTTGTATTTTTAATAGAGACGGGGTTTCACCATGTTGACCAGGATGGTCTCCATCTCTTGACCTCGTGATCCACCCGCCTCGGCCTCCCAAAGTGCTGAGATTACAGGCGTGAGCCACCGCGCCCGGCCTCCTCAGTGCGTTTCTAACTCTGTCAGTGGCACATAGAGGTGCTCGGTACACGTTTGTTGAATGAATGAATGAGCGAGCATGCCATTTCTCCTTGTGTATCTTATGAACCCGCCAAGCCCGGGCCTGATGTCGTAGCCTGTACCCCTGGCCCGACTCCACAGCACGAACGCGGGGGCAGCACCTTCCCCAACGCAAGCCCTGCCCCCTTCCCCGTCGGGGTCCCGGCAGACCCTTTCCCCACCCTTGGGGCCGCTCAGCCTCCAGGGCAGCCGGTGGCCCCGCCCACAGCCAGGATTGGAGGATGGGGGCAACGCCCACCCCGCCGGGCGGCCTCCTATTGGCGCGGCCGCCGGCAGGGGCGGGGACAGGGCTGGGCGGCAGCTGACGCCATCCGGGCCAGAAAAGCCCAGCCCGGTGGCGGGCGCGACACTGACCCCGCGGCCAGGCTGAGGTGACTGCGCGGGGGCCGGGCGGGCTTGGAGGGCGCGGAGAACCGTGGCGCGCGCTCGCGTCCGCGTCCCCACAGGCTGCGCTCGGCCAAGCGTCGTGCCGGGAGCTCGGAGCCGGCCCGGCCCGGGGGACCCTGCTGGCACAGGAGGTCGTCAGCCGCGTCGTGTTTTCCAGACCCGAAGGACCGAGGCTTCCGGACGACGAGGAACCGCCCAACATGGCCTCGGAGGTGAGTGGGACCTCCGGGCTCCGCAGGAGAGGGTGGGGGTGCCAAACCTGCCTCGGCCACCCCGCCGGGAGTCGCGCCCGGGGCAGCCAGCACCCATCCCCACCCTCCCGGGCGCACCTGCCGGCGCTCACTAGCGCCCCCAGCCACACCTCCAGGGGCGCAGTGGCTCTGCCCGCACC